TTTTTTCTCTTTTAACCCCTATGTGTGGATGTCATGTTGATATATCATATATGACTAATAATGTTAGACTAAAAACCTTCTAAAAAAACTCCGAATGCTAAAAACAAAACACTGAACTTTCTCATTGGGTGGGACTAAAACTAAAACCATTTGAAATACTCTAAATTCTAAAAACACATATTTTGAAACTTACCCATTGTGCCTGATGCATCTCCCCCACCATAAAATGTGGCATGACCACCTTGCCATCCTCCTCCATAGTTACCATAAGTACCTCGGAGGCATAGATTAAGAAGAAAGAAGAAAAGAGAGATGGCAGAGGTTGCTACAATGGCCATTGTGTGGTACTAGTGAAGTTAAGAGCACAAAGGATTTAAGATAGGAAGAGAGGTTTACTTGTTGGTGCTTAATGCTTAGCTAAGGATGCTTTGGTTTATATAGGAAAAGTTAAGATAGGTTGGAGGCCCTAAAGAGCGAGATGTGGGGTCCCCATGCCTGAATGAGACAACATGCATTTCTCAGGACTAAAGAGAGAGCCAAAGTCACAAAAACTGATTCACATTTTCTGCAACGTCGAGCAAAGAATCAAGGCGCACATGCATATGTTTCGGTTACACTACCAACTACTTAATCTACGGGTCCACTTGCCACATGCATTTCTCAACTGTTCTCTTGTAGTTTTATAACGTATGCAAGTGTGGCATAGATCACATGTATCTTATTTCAACCGGATACAATTATATATTATTATCAAATAAAATTTTATTTCTAAATATTTAATACAATTGTATATTTTAGACTTAAATTTAAGACTATTAATTAAGTTAAAATAATTTGACTCAGTTGATGATCTACGTGTAGGTGTTGGTATGTAAGTGTGGCATTCTCTTCTCAGTTTTCCCTTAAATCACGCCCTACTACAACAAAAGGGCCACCAATTTTGGGTCATCTAACGTATAGATGCGTCCAACATGGTGTGCTGTTGAGGGCCTCACCAAACCGAGTAGAATTAATGACGTGCTAGTACCATAGTGTATAGTCTATCTCACTTCTCATTCTCTGCATGATTTTGATTCAATGGACCATTCTAAGTTGTAGTTGGTATTACTATTTAGTAACTTTATTTTGTGAATACCCTTAAAAAAAACTTAACATAAATTTCGCTGTGTGAATGCTGCTACAATCCATTCCTATGAAGAGATACATTACCCTTTCTAAATTCTGCTTGGTTCTGTCTCATCAACTACGAATAGAACAAGAAAGTCCTTAGAAAAATTGTTTGCACAAGGATTTAATATTGGAGAGGATCTGAGCAAATAACCGACATGAACTGTAGCATTTCACCAAAACCAAGAGCTCAAGTGCTGTGATTACACGTGTGGCATGCTCAAGTTAAGAAGATTTGAAAAATGGATACAGCTTGAATTTAACAATGATAACAAACACTTAAAAGAAGAGAACTACAAATTCTCTGTCTTTTCTTTCGGTTGCCTAACTTTTTAATTACAAGCCTGGCATATATTAGTCACTTCAGATGACTAATACATGGAAAGAATCCTATATTATATCTGTCGGTTACAATCACAAACCATACTCTAATTAAGCCAAATTATATAATTTAAACAGAAGGGCACTAACGTGACTGTCTCTGCTGCCAAAATAAATTACCCTATGCCCCTATTATACGGTGAATCAAAGTTTGGTTACCCACTCTTAACACCACAGGGCACAAATAAATTTAAATTTAAACAGTTATATCAAACTAACCTATAGTTTTAACTTCTCTAAAATGAAGAAACCTGTAAAGTAGGAAAGTAAGTACACATTTCCTCACTTCAGTAGAGCTACATCCATAGATTTATTTATTTTCTTTGAAATTTATTAAGGTTTGAGAAATTTGTATCTGAGTAGTAAGTATAACAGTAAACTTTTGTTGTCAACCATTTTACTCCAACGAATTCACCCATATCAAGGGATAAGGTTACAAGATTTTACTAAACCATTTTCCTTATCACATCAAAAGATAATTTTCGTTTTCTTAAGAAGGAAATTTAGATTAACTCAACCCTATAACAAAATCAACTTCTAAAATGAGAATTATTTCTTATCATATTATTAATTTAGTCATATTATTAGTTAATGTGTAATTTTTTACATATTTTTTTTATATCAAGAGCTGAATATTTAAAATATAAAATTTATTGAAATAGAAAATTGCAACTCAAGTAATTTGATAATGAGGGACTCAATAAGTTAAATAAAATTTATTAGGATAATTTATAAGACTAAACATTTATAAATTTAATAACAACCCACTTGATAATAAGTTGTTCGATAGATTCAACAATAATTATTAGAATAAATTTTAATATAATTTTACAAAATTGAATTAAAATCTAACTTAATTCTATAAGACTAACTTATAAAATAAAGATTAGTCTTACTTATATATATTATTTTAATAGTTATAATAATAAACTTGGAATCTCAACATTTTAATTTCCTTAAATAACAAGGATCCATATAAGGAGGCAATCTCCAAGTGCCATCATCACTTTTTGTGATGTTTTCTAAAACTTACACGTCTCCTTTGCTAACTTATGCATTAGAATGCCGTATATCTCCTTCTCCCACGAAGATTGAGAAGCAAGTTTGGTTAGAAGAGATTCAATCTTAAGCCTAGATGCCCACATCGAGAATCAGGAGGGAACAACAATTCTGTGTGCTGTGTTAATTAAATTGATATAACCATTGCAAGACACAGTCAAATTGTTGAACGGAACAACTAGCCTATAGTACTATTTGGTATATATATGCCAAATGGACACGTGGTTGCGTTTAATCAAAGGACTTACAAAAGCATTTTAATTATTACAAGGCGTTTAATGAAAGGACTTGAAGTTTAAACAAGGAGAATAGGAATGGTTAATTTTTTGTTTAATGAAACTAAGCTTTCGATGTTTCCATTAATCATTTTATATATGGTGCTACTTTCTGTACGTTAATTTTTGACGGTGTTGTATAAAAAGTGGTGAGGAGATCTTATATGGGCCCTACCACGTTACAAGCACATGCCAGTCCCGTTCTTTGCGGCCCATTTCATTCAAGTGTCATTTTCAGAAGGAAAAAATAAATAGGGTCGTTCCTGTGGATACTGACTAAAATAAACGGAAAGCAATTACAACAATATTGTGGATAATGACTAATATATAAATAAATAAATCATCTAGTGGCTTGTTATATCAGTAACCAATGAGTATGCATTATTATTATGAAATGAGTCGTGGATTATTTTTATTATTTAATTTTCTAACAACTGGAATTATTACACGGTGCAGAAAATTTTTATGAAAAAAATGCTCAAAAAGAACATGTTTATTTTATGTTTATATTGAAATTAAAAATGGCATATTAAATAAGGTCAGTGTAATCAGACTGAGATATGGTGCTTCGGTTATTTGCTTCACTATAGATTAATTGGTTTGAAATTTTATTCGAGGCTTTTCTGATTAATATAATCTAAACATTGCATATATATGGAATAGAATATAATAAGTAAAGAGGAAACAGAGGAAATCTTCTCCTGAGTGTTACTTGTAAAAGTAAAAGTAATGGATAGTAAGAAGAAAAGGACAATGTAGATTAGCAACTGTATGGTATCAAATGATTTGGTTCCGTCGTGACAATCTTTTATCAGGACACCACTAATTGACGTCTCTTTTAAATCACCGTATAAGAACATCTTTTCATGAAGCCAGCAAATTTGTCTTTTGCTAGGGATTGAAATAATATCGTAGGATTGTTAATTTGATGAATTAATCACTCCCGTGATCTGATTCTGATATGTATATATGAAGCAGCATCTTCTGAATCGTGAAGGATGTTTTAACCTTTTGCCTTTCTCATCATTGTCACTTCCGAGTAGTTTCCTTAGATACATAAAAGCAAAAGATAAAAGAGCCAATGTCATTTGAGAGCACCGATTTCCGGTGCTAATGTGTCAATATTAATGGCCTTAGCACAAACCAAAAAAGTAGAAGGCAACATCAAGAGGGCATGACAAAACCATGTCATTTTTTTTGATAGAGGAGTGTAAAACTTGTGTCCAAAAAACAAAAGACCAAAAGGGAAAACAATAAAGTTCCTTGCTTGTGCATTTATGACCATGAAACATTCCACCTCTTCTTAAAATCGAGTCTATCTATGAATGAAAAAAAGAAAAAAGAAAAAGGAAGATAATAATAATGACAACAAAGAAAATAAAATGATGTGAAGAAATATTCTTTGCTAATGCTTGAAAGATCAAGCAAAGAAAATTCTTTGGCTGAACGACACTAGAAATGAGATCCACAGAAGGGCATGTGGATAAAACCAAAATCCATACGTTAATTGTTTGTCTAGGGACCATATGATATGAAAGTGCCCTCCACAAGGCTTGTCCCCTAGTTCCACTTGGACATGCAACATGCAAAACTCAAAATATGGATTGAAGTTGAACCATGAACAAAGGTTTTGGGGGGTCACTTTCCAGTGGTAGTTAACTGCAATGGTCATATATGTGGAAGATATGTAGAGTCTTTCAAAGAGTTAGTTTCTTGTGAAGTTCAAACTGCATATTCAAACATGTTCCAAACCCTACCATGTGCATTTAAAATGGATGCTGGGGGTTGTAGCCTAGTAGGCCATTCATAACCATAAGAAGTGAGACTATTTGGTTACAAGTTAGGTGCCCGTGTATCGATCCGTTGAAATGATATGTCGCATATGATTTATTAGATGATAGAATCTGATGTAGGGTTAACTGCTTTGGATCATATTGGTTGTTCAAGAGCTCGATCGGTTAGGTATAGAGGTTGTTATGAAGTTGAAGTTAGGTTAAAGAAAAAGTGCATTAATTTTCCTGATTTGATGGGATGCTAGTGAACTTAAATGAAATTCTTATTGTGAACAATGGCAAACCAGGATAGACACAAACCGAGTGAAAATGACAGAAAAGTTATTACTAGACAAACTTTGTTCTGCTGATAAGTATGAGAGTAAGTAACCAGTGCACGTTAGTATGTGCATCAGTGCATGCCAGCAGTGCCAAAGTTAGTGTTTTAAGACTAATTTTAGTGTTATCTAATTAAACTTTACTGATAGCATGCATATATTAAAAAGAGTTATTAATTCCTCCATTATCCTCAAGCTTAAAGTAGCATGTTAATGCTGACAAAATCTCTCAAATTTACATTGGCAATTACTTTGGTGCAAGTTTATTTTAGGGGGCATCAAAACTCTCTGTGACTAGGACCATACAAAAGATGACATGTGGTTATTTTGTCAGGACTTGTATTTTTTAACAATGTTTTAGTATTTGCTATTTAACCCTCATTAATTATATCTTTTTAAATAATAGTCCCCGGTATATTTAAATATTTTTTATA